CGAGATTGCGCCATTGCACTCCAGCCTGGGTAACAAGAATGAAACTCCGCCTCAAAAAAAAAAAAAAAAAAAAAAAAAAAAAAGCTGGGCACAGTGGCTCAAGCCTGTAATCCCAGCACTTTGGGAGGCCGAGGCGGGTGGATAACAAGGTCAAGAGATCGAGACCATCCTGGTCAACATGGTGAAAACCCATCTCTACTAAAAATACAAAAATTAGCTGGGCATGGTGGTGGTGCGTGCCTGTAGTCCCAGCTACTCAGGAGGCCGAGGCAGGAGAATTGCTTGAACCCAGGAGGCAGAGGTTGCGGTGAGCCGAGATCACGCCATTGCACTCCAGCTTGGGGAACAAGAGCGAAACTCCATCTCAAAAAAAGAAAAGAAAAGAAAAGAAAGAAACAGTAATTAGAGTGAATCAGCAACAAACAGAATGGGAAAAAATTTTTGCCATCTACCCATCTGACAAAGGGCTGATATCCAGAATTTACAAAGAACTAAAACAGATTTACAAGAAAAAAACAAACAAGCCCATTCAAAAGTGGATGAAGGATATGAACAGACATTACAAAAGAAGACATACATGAGGCCAACAAACATATGAAAAAATGCTCATCATCACTGGTCATCAGAGAAATGCAAATCAAAACTACATTGAGATACCATCTCACACTAGTTAGAATGGCAATCATTAAAAAATCTGGAGACAACAGATGCTGGAGAGGATGTGGAGAAATAGGAACACTCTTAAACTGTTGGTGGGAGTATAAATTAGTTCAACCATTGTAAAAGACAGTGTGGCAATTCCTCAGGGACCTAGAAAGAGAAATTCCATTTGACCCAGCAATCCCATTACTGGGTATATATCCAAAAGATTATAAATCGTTCTACTGTAAGGACACATGCACATGAATGTTCATTGCAGCACACTTTACAATAGCAAAGACCTGGAACCAACCCAAATACCCATCAATGATAGACTGGACAGGGAAAATGTGGCACATATACACCATGGAATATTATGCAGTCATCAAAAACGATGAGTTCGTGTCCTTTGTAGGGACATGGATGAATCTGGAAGCCATCATCCTCAGCAAACTGACACAAGAAGAGAAAATCAAACACCGCATGTTCTCACTCATAGGCGGGTATTGAACAATGGGAACACATGGACACGGGAAGGGGAGCATCACACACTGGGGTCTGTAGGGGAAAAACAGGGAAGGGACAGCGGGGGGTGGGGAGGTGGGGAGAGATAGCATGGGGAGAAATGCCAGATACAGGTGAAGGGGAGGAAGGCAGCAAATCACACTGCCATGTGTGTACCTATGCAACAATCTTACATGTTCTTCACATGTACCCCAAAACCTAAAATGCAAAAAAGAAAAAAGAAAACAGGACTAGTTAACAGTGTCAATTACTAGTAATTCATGGTATAATTAAACAAGAAAATAAAAAAAAGAAAGAATGTTATGTGGATTTCGATGTCTGGAGAAGAGGCATCAAGCTCCCCCACATGCTGGAATGGGTGGCGGCTTGGCAAGTGCAGGGGAGCCTGGAGAGCTCTGGGCCACTGTGGTCACAGGAAGGGAGGTGGAGGGATGACCCTGTGGCACCTCGTCCCCAATGCACACACATCTTAAACATGCACACAGTCACACACAGCACAGATACACACATACATGCAGTCACACACACCTATACACACATGCACAGTCACACACACAGCCACATGCATACACACAGCCACACACAGCACATACACACACATACATGAAGTCATATGCATGCATCCACGTACACGCATGCACATAGTCCCACACATGCAGTCACACACACATATATACATATGCACACAGTCACATGTATGCACACAGGTAGACACAGTGTGCACACATGCACAGTCACACACACATACACAGTTACAAACATGTACATACAACACACACATGCATACACATGTACACATAACATACATGCATACACTTGCAGTCACATAGTCACACACAGCACATATACACACACACAGGCACACACTTGTATACACAACACACACACAACACATACTTGTATAGAGTCACATGCATACCACACATACAACATGTACACACATGCAAACACATGCACACAGTCACACAGCATATATACACAGGCACACAGTCAATACATACACACATACACACACTTGAACACACAACACACGCATGCACAGTCACACGCATGCACACACAATGCAAACATGCATGCACACAGTCACATGCACAGTCACACACATGCAAACACATGTACACAATGACACACATGGAAACACATGTGCACACAACATATGTATGCATATAGTCACATGCACAGTCACCCACAAACATGCACACAGCCACACATATGCAGTCACGCACACATGCACCACATACACACAGTCACAGATGAAAGTACGCCCACACACACACTACACACACACGAACGCATGTGCAGTTACACACATGCACAGTCACATGAACACGCAACACACATGCACACAGTCTCTCACACACGTACACAGATGCACAATGAGGCTCAGCCTTTAGACTTCCTCTCCATTTGCCTCCTCAGTCCTGGTTATTGATTGATTGGTTGATTGAGACAGGGTCTCACTCTGTCCCCACAGGCTGGAGTGCAGTGATGTAATCATGGCAGTCTCCCAAAGCGCTGAGATTATAACCATGAGCCACTGCGCCCAGCCCCAACCCTTTTAAACTGGGCTGTTGGGTTGGGGTCCTAAGGGCAGTGACTAGGGCAGTACAGGGAAAGGGGAGGGCAGGGAAAGTCACCTGACTCCCAAAAGATACAGAAAAGTATGGAGGCACATAAGGAGGACAGAGAGAGAGAGGGCGATTCATTCTTTCATTCGTACAATGTTTATTGAATGTCAGATGCTTGCCAGGCACTGTGCAAAACCACATAAAAATGGGGTGAGGGGAGTGCAGTGGGCAGGGAGCGCCAGCAGGGCAGCGACGAGCACTGACAGGCAAAGACACGGACTTCGGAGCCGGAGCCCAGCGCCAGAGCCGCTGCCTGCCTGCCTGCCTGCCTGCTAAGGGTGAGAATGCACCTGCCGAGGCAGCCCCACCTCACCGTGGACGCCCGCCGTAGGAGCGCCAGCCCTCTCCCTGTCCCCAGCTGTGGAAGCCGGGGGCCTCTGTAGCCCTGTGTTGCCCGGGGTTGGATACAAACATCCCAAGAGCTAGGGGTGCCTCTACTGGCTGGACAGTGGTCATTCTATTTCCCCGCATGAACTCAGAAAGCTTCAGCCAGGCACAAGCACATCCCAGGGAAAAGCTGGCTGAAGCCTTCCCTAACGTGGGTGTGCCTCCTCCTGGCCCCGGTCCCAGGCACACCAGCCCTGGCATCGAAGGCTTAAGGGAAATAGGCAGAGAAGGCATTTGCCCCTCTACTTTCTTCCCTCCCAGGCATAGCAGGGAAGAAGCCTGGACACTGGGGTGGGCCTTAGCTGACCTCATGTCCCAGGACCCCGGTCTCCCTTACGTGACCCGGGATCTAGAAGCTGGAACCTTCTTCCCAGTGCCCGCAGCTTCTACCGTCATCTTCCAGCCCAGACTCGTCCAGAAGCCTCTGGGTCTAATGGTGCAAGCATCCAAAGTGCCACAGCCAGGCTTGCCGCAGGCCCGGTGAGGCATGCAGCCGCCCTTGGCCCTTCTCCCACCACCCTCCGAGAGGCGCAGGGACAGCCTCACGGCCCGTCGCCTCCTGCCCTCCCATCCCACCACTGTCTGGGGTCAAGGGTCAGTGCCCAACAGTCCCACATGGTCCCCACCCTGTCTCCTCTCCTGATCCTGACCCCATGCCCTCCTGTTTTGAGGTCACACACTCCCCTCCCCTCCTCTCTGAGCATTTCCCCCACCTCCACCCGGGCTGCAGCCTGACCACCCTCCCTTCCTTTGCAGGTTTCTGGGTCAGAACTGTGACCGAAGTCTTGCTCACTACACTCCTGCCACGGCTGTGCCCTGACCCCTGCGGCGGTCGCGTCTGCTGCTAACTCCAGGGCCACCCTTCCAAGGCACCCCACGCCTCCAGCCCAGAAGGCTCTTCCCTTCTCTGCTTGGCGTCTCAAAGCCAACATCTCCCTGGTTCCCTGCCCTTGGTACACAGCCCTCTCTACCCACTGGGCTGTCCAAGTCAAGGCACGGGAACTCTCTGGGCGTCCCCCCGACCTTACCTCGCAAGCCAGTCAACCCCACCGCCCGTGCAGCTGCCAGACACCTGCTGTCCAGCCCTCTGCCACTGGCCCCGGCCCTGGCTCAGCTCCCTCCGCCTGCATCCACCTCTGTCCACTGGGATCCCCTCCAGGCTGGCCTAGCTGCCCCAGAGGGCACCATCTTCCCAAAACACGAAGCCCACGGCCACGCCCCTTCCCTGGGAAAGGTCGTCTGCCTTCCCGTGGAATCCCAAGTCCTTCGCGTTGTGCACCTGAGCTGCAGAATTTCCTGCGGTTTCCCAGACCAGCTGGGCCCCCAGGGCATCGGCCTCGGCTTTTGAACGGCATCTGCAGTTGATTTTCACAGTGATTGTAGAAGTGAAAGGCCATTTTCCGATTTGACAGCTAAGGAGATGGGCACGAGAGAGGGAAAGGGGCCTGCCCAGATCCCAGAGCCCCCCAGGAGGGACAGGAGTTGGCCACGGGTCTGTCGTCACTGCCTGCTGCTTCCTTCTGAGTGAATCTGTGGCTTCCTTTGCTCCGACTTGGCCAAGTGCGCAGCTGAGGCAGTGCCCCAGCCCTTTCCGTCCCCCCAGGAGACTGCCTGACCCTTCAAGGGACTCGAGTTTGGGGTACCCCCACCAAATGCCCCCCCATTTACTGCCCGGCAAAGCTGTGATGGGTCAAAGCATCTCCTGCCGTCAGCTGTGACACAGAACCACGGGCCCTGACCACCAGGCGGTCCCTGAAGGAAGCTCGCAAAGCTTCCAGACTTTTCTAGCCCCTGCTGGGGACATGAAGTGGAAGGCTGGGCTGGAGCGGCATGGGTATTTCATTGAAAGTTCACAGATGCGAGGGCTTTGAGCAGGGTCACAGCGTGGAGGAGGTGGGGTCAGGGAGCACAGAGCGTGTCCTCGGATGCTGGCAGCCCTCCCATCCTGGGACACTTTTGCATAAGCCCTTCCTGCTGGGCATCAGGAGCCTGGGAAGGGGCACATGAGGGCAGGGACAGAGCCACTGGAAGCCGGGGTGCAGCAGCGTGGGGAGAAGCCCCCAGCCCCCAGACACAGGCAGGGTGGAGGCCAGGAGGCAGAAGGGGTGGGCTGAGGGCCAAGCTCACTGCCTCCTTGCCGTACTCAGCCTCTGACGGCCTTCCTGCACGGTTCACAGCTCAAGGGGGCCCCAGGACTAGACTCCCTGCCCCACCCCCACTTCATGGGATCCTGCGTTTCAAGGGCCATGAGAATAAACACGTCTCAGTGCTCGTGTCCACCAGCAGCCGTGCCTGGTGGCCCTTAGTAGTCGGTGAGGGGGTACCGCAGGAAGATGAAGATGAGGATGATACAGGAGGCTGCCAGGGCAGAGCTGGTGATGTTGAACAGCCGGGCGGTCTTCGCATCCTCCACGGCTCCATTCAGGTCATTGAGAAGTTTCTTGTCACGCACCTGAAGCCGGGAGGAGGAGAGGAAATGGGCAGTCAGCCAGGGAGCAGGGCCTCGGAGCAGCCAGGAGCCCAGCAGGGCCGGTGCCTCAGTGCACCGCAGTCTCGGTGCCTGGTTTCCGAGTGCCGACAAGTGAACTATGGTTCTGGAGGAACGTGTCCCTGCTCTGGGGTACTGTGCACTGATGAACTCAGGGCACGGGGGTGTCATCTCTAAAACCTACTCCCAACCTCAACTGGTCTATCAAATAGGGAAGATGTATTTATACAGAGAGAGAAGAGCAAATACGGTAAAATGTTAACATTTGGGACAGCTGGGTGAAGGATATGAAGAAATGTTTTGTTTTGCTGTTTTCTTTTTTGCAAGTCTTAAATGATTAAAATAAAAGAAGTTGGCCTCAGAGAGAATATAACTGGAGGACGGGGCGACACAAGTGTCTCCTAATTTGATTGTTTCTGCCTAGTTTAAAATTAACTGGGTTGCCCTGAGAATAGGCATGTGCATTGGCAGAAGAGGCAGGGGTCCCCGGGGCCTTTGGGGAGTGATATTAAGGTGAAGGGAGGGGGCTGGAGCCCGGGAAGTCTTGGGGAGGCCGTGGACGGAGCTGGACTCATTTCCAAGATGTATTGTCATTCAGCATGAGTTATAGGGCCTCCCTCCTCAGCACTCTTTCCTCCTATCACATCCAGATATGTGCGTGAGTTTGCTGTAAGAAGAAACCAAGTCCTAGGATGAAGAAGGGAAGGAGAATGGGAAGAGAGAAAGAGAGGAAGGGGCAAGAAGTCTTTGCTTTAGTAGATTGGGGCTGGGCCAAGAAAAGAAGGTGAGCAGATAGATACTGGGGCTAATGCCTGGATCCCTCAGCATGCAGGTTAGGCAGATGGACAGGAGACCCGGGGAGGAGGAGTGGAGGGACAGCGGATAGATGGGCGGTCAGGGCGACGGGTGCATAACGGAGTGGAAGAAGGGAAGCATGGGTGGGTTGGCCTGTGGGTGGATGGATGCAGGCAGACTGGTGGAAGGAACCAAGGGAGAGGAGAGAAAAAGGATGAAGAGATGGATATGCAGGGGAGAATGGAGGGAGTGGGGAAGAGAAAGAGAGAATGCAATTCAGTGGAGTGGAATGGCATGGGGTGGAGTGGAGCAAATGCAGTGAAGCAAAATAGTGTGGAGTGGATGAAGTGGAGTGGAGCGGATGGAGTGGAGTGAAGTAGATGGAGTGAAGTGGATGAAGTGAATGGAGTCGGGTGGAGGGAGTGGATGGGGTGGAAAGAATGGAGTGGAGTTGGTGAAGTGAATGGAGTGGAGTGGATGGAATGGATGGAGTGAAGTGGGTGGAGTGGAGTGAATGGAATGGATTGAATAGACAGAGTGGATAGTGGAGTTGACGGAGTGCAGTGGATGGAATGGATAGACTGGAGTGGAGTGGATGGAGTGGAATGGATGGAGTGGAGTGAATGGAATGGATGGAGAGAATGGAGTAGAATGGATGGAATGGACGGAGTAGACAGAGTGGAGTGGATACAATGGATGGAATGGATGAAGTGGAGTGAACAGAATGGCTGGACTGGATGACATGGAATGAAAGGAATTGATAGAGTGAATGGAGTGGAGTGGATGGAACGGATGGAGTGAAGTGGGTGGAGTGGAGTGAATGGAATGGATTGAATAGATAGAGTGAATGGTGGAGTTGATGGAGTGCAGTGGATGGAATGGATAGACTGGAGTGGAGTGGATGGGGTGGAATGGATGGAGTACGATGGCTTGGATAGAGTGGAGTGAATGGAATGGATGGAGTAGATACAGTAGACTGGATGGAATGGATGGAGTGAAGTGAAGTGGATGGAGTGGAACGGACAGAATAGGATGGCTTGGATGGAGTGGAGTGAATGGAATGGACAGAGTGAATGGAGTGGAGTGGATGGAGTGGAGTGAATGGATGAAGTGGAGTGAACAGAATGGCTGGATTGGATGACATGGAATGAAAGGAATCGATAGAGTGCATGGAGTGGAGTGGATGGAATGGATGGAGTGGAATAAAAGGAATGGATGGAGTGGAATAAAAAGAATGGATGGAGTGGATGGAGTGGAGTGGTTGAATAGATGGAGTGGAGTCAATGGAGTGGAAAAGTTGGAGGGAGAAGAGAAGGAAGGGAACAAGGGCAAATGGGCAAGTGGGTGACTTGGAAGGCACATTATACAGAATGTGCAACCAAAATGGAGAGATCAAAGATGGGAAGAAGCAGAACTTGAGGAATCAGGGTAGAGAAGGAGGCAGAAAGTCTATGCTCCATTGGGTCCTTATGCTAGTGATTTTGGAGGAAACTGACATCTGCATTGAAATTTGTATTCCTTTCTAAGGACTGAATACGTCCCCCACGTATTTAGGTCTTATTTGATGGCTTTGTTAAAATAAAGTTGTATAACTTTCTCCAGAAAGAGCTATTACATCTTTTGTTAAATTTAGTCTTAATCTATTTATTTTGGCTCTTATTCTTTTTTCTTTTCTTTTCTTTTTTTCTTTTTTTTTTTTTTTTTTTTGAGACAGAGTTTTGCTCTTGTTACCCAGGCTAGAGTGCAGTGACACAATCTCGGCTCACCGCAACCTCCACCTCCTCGGTTCAAGCAGTTCTCCTGCCTCACCTCCCAAGTAGCTGGGACTACAGGTGTGTGCCACCATGTCCGGCTAATTTTCGTATTTTTAGTAGAGACGGGGTTTCACCATGTTGACCAGGATGGTCTCGAGCTCTTGACCTCGTGATCCACCTGCCTTGGCCTCCCAAAGTGCTGAGATTACAGGCGTGAGCCACCGTGCCCAGCTTATTTTGGCTTTTATCATAATGTAAAAGTATGTTTCAAAATTGCATGTCTAACTGATTTTGTATCCAGCTAAACTATCATATTCTACTAATTGACCACATGTTCTTTGTAATAAATCACATCTACAGCAAATACTGGTAGTTCTATTTCCTCCTTGCAGTCTATTCCTAGACAGCATAGGAGAGGTTAAAGCACAGATGCAGAAACACTGACTGGATTTCAATCCTAATTCTGCGGGTGCAGCCTTAGGCAAGCTAACAACTCACTCTTCCCTTCCTCATCTGTAACATGAAGATGACAACAGTGTTGCCTCCCAGGGTTGTGGAAAAGGCTTAATGAGTTGATGGATGTGAAGCTCCACTACAGTGTCTGGGCCAAAGTGAGCTCCTCTCATGAAGGCAAAGAAGATTCCAGAGCGATCTCAGATGGCAGTGATGATGACGAGCAGCTGAGTCTCATTCTTGACCTCAATGTACCAGGAAGGATACTGCTCATCTTACTATTAGAAATCTATGATTGCATTAAAATTTCCACAAGATAAACATATTGTTTTCTTCTCTAATTCATTAATATAGTAGATTATATTCATTGATTTTCTTATACCAAGACAACTCTGAATTCCTAAAACAAACTTTTGGTCACGATTTCTTTGTTGGATATTTGGAATGATGTGTCAGAGGGACGGTGAAATACACTTTTGAGTATCAAAAGTGGATGGAGGCCGGGCGTGGTGGCTCATGCCTGTAATCCAAGCACTTTGGAAGCCAAGGCGGGTGGATCACCTGAGGTTGGGAGTTCAAGACCAGCCTAACCAACATGGTGAAATCCCATCTTAAAAAAATAAAATAAAATATTTTTAAAAAGTGGATGGAGTGGAGGGCAGGAGGCTGAGGCAGCTGGGGTACTGGGTGCCTGGGAATGGCAGCCAGAACTAAAGAAGATAGGGAAGAGGAGGATGGGGGAGTGACCCCATGATCCAGAAGGTGGGTGGATGGAGCTGAGGGGTTATACAGATGGAGGCTGGGTGTATGGGACAGAGAAATGGACATAGAAACTTGTGATGGGTAGGGAGGATGGCTGAATGAATATATGAATGTACATTGGATGAGTGGAACAGAAGGGTAGCTGAATTTATGAATACGATGCTTCTTGAGGTACAACTGGGGCTACAGTCCAGTAAACCCACCATAAGTTTAAAGCACTGTAAGCTGAAAGTGCATTTTCATATGAGCATTTTTCACAAGCCTGGTAAGCTGAGGAGCATACTGAATGCCTATGGCTTTCCAGCCATCGTGAAGTTGAAAAATGGTACATCAAACCATGAAAAGGTGGAAACCATCTGTATATGCTGGATGGGAACAAGTGCATAGATGAACAGTGAATGTATGTCCAAGTGGACAGATGGATATGCAAATACATGCCATATAGCTGGGGCAGCTGGGGAAGTGAATGACTGCTGGGTGGGAGGTGATGTGTGGATATGTGAGAGCATGTTCAGTGGGTGGGACAGGCAAATAGGTGAATACACAAGAATGTGTGCTCATGTGTTTATGTTGGCTTGGACCAGGGCAGCGCAGTGAAGGTGGTGAGACCCGGCCAACTTCTGGACATGTGTTGAAGGTGGAGGTGACAGTGTTTGCTGGGATCAGGTTTGCATGTGATAAAAAGAAGGGAAATTCACGTGATTTGAATGAATGGACAGGTGGTTACAGGAATACAGGAACGGACGCCAGACTGGAGGGGCAGGTGCACAGAAGGGTTTCTGAATGCACGCTGGATGGCTGGGACAGAGACAGGTAGATAAAAGGATTTATTACGCGTGATGGATGGGTAAGACTGGTGGGTAAGTGGAAAGGAAGGAGAGTTGTTGATAAATAAATACAGTGTAGACCAATGGATGGTAGATGGATAGATTCATTAATCAATCAATCAATCACCAATCAATAGTTACTTAGTGCCTACTCTGCGTAGTTGCTGCTCTACGTCTTGCCTATATCACAAGATATAAAACAGAGTCCCTGGCCTCACACAGCTTACACTGTAGGGAGAAGGTACAGAAAATAAACACAATAAATAAGTAAAATAATGTAATATGCTCAGTGTTCTAAAAAGAAACCTGAAGGGGCTACGGGGAACAGAGAGTGTGGTAGAAGTCTAGCTCACCGGCTGGGGAGATATTTGAG